TCCAGTTAATCGAGAAGGGCCTTCCCAGGTTCTCTAAGCGCGGAGCAAATCTCCGTCGTCGTCCGAGCAGATGCGCAGAATGGATCTGTGAGCGAGGCTGCATCTGCTCTTTGTGATATTGGAAGAATAGTGGCCAAGTAATCTGTATTTGGTTTTGAGCTTGCACAAATAAACTTTTAATTTTTCAATAGAAAGTAGGAAAAGACGGTTTAAATTTTTGCAAATGTGAATGTCTAATTGCAAGTCATTTTCTGTACTAGTGCATGTTTAGTGTCAAGTGGTCATTGGGTCTTGCTAGATTTTAAACTTGGTATAACTCAAAGCACAAGAGTTGGTAATCGCTAAACATGTAAAACTAAAATTCAGGGTAATATTTTGAAATACAAATTGTTTATTTCCAAGTCTTTGATGTCTAGCTAGATTATCATAGCGCTGTGCCACGCTCAAAATTGGCCTTGATGTCAGCAGTATACTTGTCATATGCACGAGATATTTTTTTGTTGAAGCGCATATTTCGTTCGTTGATATAAGTGCTAGTGTAGAACACAAAAGTAAATTGTATTAGTATATCAGACTGATTTTCAATTCGACCGAGTTTCATTATATGCAAAAGACTGTTTGGTTTTAACAAAACTAGACAGTTTAAAACTTTTGACCATTTAAAAATATAATAAACATAGTATATCAATACGGGTATAAAGGGTGAAAGCATACACTTCATCTTCATCATCAAATGCACGTCGTCGAGAAAATTGTCCACGTTGTGCACGCTGTTTTTCAATGTCCTTTACAAGCCGGTCCACAGCTAGCTCATCGGGAGCAGCGGAATGATTTGCATATGAGAGTGAGTGAGCAGATCTGTAGAATGCGTCTTCCGAAACAATTTCTTGAGTACCATCGCTGCTACCATGCGTCATTGATGCAATATTTGCTTGTTGTCGGTACTTTGTCAAGTCGGGTTTGATGTCAGCTATCATTTTGGAGTATTTTTTGGCAGCAATCTGAGCATAGTCTGAAAAGCCGTGATCTTTTCGAGCTTCCTTTTGAGATAGTTTTTCTTCCCAACGCTCCACATCGTCGATAGTGTAAGTTAAATTTTTGACACGATCGTAGTCTGTATTGGTAGCTTCTGCAGCCTATTTGATTGACAATGATTACAGGTTACATGAGTTTAGCAGTGATTCAAAACTATATAGCACCGAGTTTTAATAGGAATGAACATATCTACATAAATTTAAACAGAGCCAAAAGCTAGATATTTACAACAATTCAAAGAGTGAGGACTAAATAAACCTGATCTTACAGTTTTAGCTTGAAGTTCTTGAGCCTCCTTAAGCTTTCTCTCATGCGCCATTGATTCTTTTGAAGTTTGCTTATGGCGAGAGAATTCAGAGTGCACCTCCTTTCGGTTAAGTTTTTGTGATTCTATCTATATCGAAACATGTGAATATTATTGATGGCAAATATAGGCTGATCGTTGGACAAGGTAAGAGTGCTAGTTGCAGCTTTACATAGCCAAACAGCACAGATTAGATTGAAAACCTACTCTCATAGACTTTAGCTTGGAAAAACGAGACAGCATATCAGCTTTGTTTGATGAAGAGCCCTGGGTATCATTAGACTGTAAAGCATCATCATTCTGAACCATTGGTGATGAAGCCGAGTCAGCTTGTTGATTATCTAAAAGGCTCACCGTTTCGTCTAAACACAGGTTGTTTTTGTTTGTTCTATTATGCTTGGTGGGAGACGGTTTTTTAGTTTTATCTGCAGCCTTGCTTTTCTTGGCAAGATAAGGCTGGTCGACTTCATCCGCAGTATTTGAGGGCTCTAATTGAGTAGTTGACTGCTGATTTACTTGCACATGAACAGGAGCTTTTTTAGAATTTTGATCCATTTCTAAAATAGCATTTGATGATTTTGTAGATGTCCTACTTCGCTTGCCTGCCATTTCAAGTAGATAAAAATGTTGATGTCGGATAAAGTTGAAACTTGGAATGGTTTGCCCTGCAAAAAGTGAAATTATAATCACGTGTATTTCATGCAACAAAATTACACTTTACAAAATAAAGCACTAAATAAGAATACCAAATTACATGAACTCGATTTCATGACATGATTCCCACCAAATTCATAGTCAGAATTGTTGTAAACTCTAGCTGATTGGAGCTTTTTGTGGCGATTGGCATGTAGAGCTGCGTTTCTGGGAATTACTTGGACTAGAAGCGCGAATGTATCCGAGATTAAAATACGAGTTCTAGAGCTGAATCA